AGTCACAACTATAGTAATTCGTAATGAACATTTAATTTGAATGTAAATTCAATTAATGTACATTCATTTTTCGAAATGAATGTACATTAATTGAAAACGCAATATTCTTGATGTTAATCACGCCTATATCATCCAGGGGATTTTCGATGAAATAAACCACGTGTAGTCCTTAATTATGAATACTAAATCGACAAAATAGGTGTATCATGTTGACATGACTGCACTAATGACAATAATATAATATTCTGAAGTTTTTATTTTTGTGGTCAGGCTATAAATGAACACAACCTTGCATGCATGTTGCATTACATAAATAAATGATTTATTCTCATAAAAGTTCATTTATGTCTATAGTAACTATTTTTAGTCTTTTATGAATTTCGCCCACCCTATTTCGTGTTTTGTGTTTATGTGTATTTAATATCTTTTATTATTCATATATAGCCATTAACCTGTCCAACACCAATTGGATGTCTCGTACCAAATTGTCATTGTAAAATAATTTATTATTTTTTTATTATACGTTACTTGTTATCGTACTCATAGGCTAGTTATCATTGAATTATTTATTAAGTGGCCGCGATCGCGGGGATTATGTTAGCGTTTTTTTTTTATATTTTGTAACGGACCAACGGAAATACCTTGGGATGGCGAATGTTCTAGAAATACGACGCCTTAAAGGAACAACATACTGATCAACAACATTTGATCAGTTTGTTATTTGCTTGACCTGTGTATAAAGTGTGAATTTAATAAAATAATTTAAATTTTGACGTATGAAGAACCGATGACAATACTAAAAATATTCTTAGTAGTAGAATCACAGCTCATGATTAATGCGTGTTTTGTTTTTTTTTTAACCCTACTGATTATAAGTTTTATCTGTTGCCAAGCAGCACCCACTAATGTAAACTGTTTTAAAGGGTAAGAAATCAATAAAAAGTTAAAAGCAGTGAGGTATTAAACTATAGTCTCCTTTTCTCTTAATTCTTTTGAAACATTGGGACTTAGGCATTTCCGAAAAACGCTGACTGGATATATTTACGTAGACGTATTACGTACTCCCATATTCACCGATCCACCAGTCAGGTTTGGTGAGCGGAAATCTACTATAATCACACTTTATCAGTCTTTTTAGTCAGGTCTGTGCTTTGTTGCAGTCTTTGAGAGATAGGAATCTTTTGGTGCCTCGGAGTTATGGGTGGGTAGGTTTACCACCCTTTTAGCTATCTCTGCCGCTAAGCACCAGTGCCCGTCTGAAGGATATAAAGAGCTAGGCTAGTTTAATTACAGCATTTGAGGCACTATTTCTTAATGCTCAAAAGTGAGAACACATCTATAGTGTTCTTAACTTGAAATTGGTTGCGGGTGTCGATGGACTGCAGTGGCTTTACAGTAGTTCGTAAAGTATACAACCTGTATAGGTCCCACTGCTGCGCACAGGACGCCTGTCATTTCTGAGATGGTTACGGAGCAATTTCCCGCCGCGCAGTTCCTGTGCGTCTTGGCACTTAAAAATTGCAACTAACAATTTCATTGGTACCGGCGGGGATAGAACCCAGGTTGCTTGGTTCAATGTGTAAAAAAATTAAAAATAATTCCACGGTTTTGCATTAGAACAATTTTATTTAATACAATAAAATTAACTAACGCACTAATATAAAACATGCGCGTATAATGTAAATTAAAACTTTTGCTCCCGAGGTTTTCGTCGGTCCGACTATTGAGAAAACTCATTACGTTAAGAATTATTGTATTTTTAAGTGACTGTCGCAAATGTTTTGGAGTTATTTAGAAATCGTAGTGCGGAGCGAGCGTGCGTTCAGTTTTGCTATTTTGTATTGTTTATAGACAGTTCAATTATATATAAGTCAATTGTATAATATTTCGTGCAATAAAATGTTCAACTTGTAAATTTTATAGCAATATATGTAACATTGTTAAGTTCATTTATTTGTGTAAAGGTTCGATAAAATAATTTGTTAAATTTTTAGAGCCTTTTTTTTGTAATTAAATTTTAGATTGTTTTTGAGGTTTGGAATTTTATATAATAAATAAACTGAATACTCGCCGCAGCCGCTCTAACGAATACGCGAATAATGCATACTGTTAGGTAAATAAAAATAAACAAAGTTTAACCTGTATTGTGTTTTCTTTCACCGTCGCCCCTAAGCATAAAATGATTTACTTCAAACTAAATAAAACATTTTTATTTAAATTAAGTAATTTCATAATTTTTTAAAATTAAGTTTACCTAGAAGACGAAACAACGTGTTCAAAGAGGAATCAGTCATAAGCAGCATACCTGCAGTTACTTTTTCTGTATGAAAAAAGTTTACAAGTCTTTCTTTCTCTAAGTGCTGCAAATATCTAAAAAAAAAAGGTTAGATTATGCCCTTCGAAAAAAGAAAGACCCCGAAACTAGTATGCCCATACCAGATCAGAGAGGTAAACAAGTGTCTGGTAATAAAATTAGAGACGAAGACAAAGATTTCGTTCAGCAACACATTGAAAGTATTCCTCGTTATATGAGTCACTATGGTGAAAGTTTAATTAAATTTCATAAAAGAGATAGTAGAATTTACTTCAATGATGACTACTCGGATGATTATGACTTTGCAGATTTAGACAAGGGTGATATTTTTATAAATACCCTAGTTTTTCACACCAACTGACAAAACATATGTAAAACCACTTACATACAAAAAGATGCAAGACTTAAGAAAATGCTGAACTGAATGTGTCACCATACATTTTTTTTAAGTTTTCCTCATCTTACCAGGAGAAACAATGCAGCTGAAAATGAAGAGGAAATGCTTCCTAGTTTAGGTGATGAAAGTGATTAGTAATAATTAGTTAGTTAGTAAATTATGGTGACTTTTAAATTAAAAGCACTTTATTTCATTTCTGCAACAACCACTATCACTTTTATGATAAAAGCAGAAGTGATCCAAGTTCAATAAAATCAAGATAACTTTATTATTATTGCATATCTTATTGCACATTTTTTAGAAAGGGTTAAATTGGGTTAATATCTGTCATAAAACTTACACAATGGTAATAATAATGAATTAAATGCCATCATGATGACCATGAAAACGCGTTTTGCTCCATATCTCGAAATTTACAAAATGCTACTTGGATCACTTCTGTTCTCAACCAGCCAAATAATAATTCAAAAAAAAAAACATGCGTGAGTGTCGTGGAACTCTCGGTTGGCACGAAGTTCCTTTCGTAGTATATTATTATTGATAAACGTATTATATTATTGATTAACAATAATATAAATAAGAAGAACTAAACAAGAGAATTAGTTCTTCTGCTTATGCGCTCTATAAACTCGCATCCATTGTAAATACCGATGCGTTACCACGGTAATGTTGATTCCATCTTGAGGTTTGCCCATCATGTTCTGGGGAAATTCTACTAATAAGGAAAAATTTATAAGTCCCAAAAAAGGTGCATTAGGGCTATGTTTGGTATTAAAATTACTGATAGCTGCAGACCATATTTTATTGAGTACAACATTTTAAGCTTGCTCTCCTTATATATGAAGTAGCAAACTTCGTTCACAGTAACTCTAAATTGTTTAACAAACTATCAGACGTTACAATTCGCAATCGCCGAGATAATAACAGGTTATGCGCAACTAGATCAAGAACGGCATTGATGCATAAAAGTATTTCTGTCTGACGCCAATAATATATAATAAAGTCCCCAAAACCATCAAACAATTGCCTACTACACTTTTTAAGCTACATTTAAAAAAATATCTGATAGCCAAATGTTATTACAGCTTGCCGGATTTCTTAAATGATTGATTTTTTTAAGCTAAATATTGAATTGTGACATTTCTCTAATGTAATCTTAGGAGATACCATTGAAATTGTTGCACATCTAGAATTAGGTCCGTAGGGTTAGTTTTTTTTTTATAGGATTGGGTGACAAATGAGCACACAGTCCACCTGATGGTAAGTGGTTGCTGCGGCCCATAGACATCTACATCTATCCTCGTTGCGAATCAAAATGCAGATGCGTTGTCACCCGTGAGGACTAAGATGGAATGCCTCTTTTCCAGTAAAAAAGGTCTCCGGTTCTCTACACTCACCATACGAAACACAGCAGCGTTAAGCTGCTATTTTACGCTGGTATTCTGTGATTGTGTGGTCCTTCGTCGAGCTGACCCATTCGTGGTACAACTATACTATTAATATAGTTGCAGCATGGCTCTACCACGTTGAAAATCTTTATCTGAAAAGTTTATCTTATATAACTAATAAAGTATGAAGTATAATCTTTGTACGCCATAAATGGCAAAATGTGTAGCTTCGTTTTAAATATTTTAACACCTTTATATTTTTACTCATGTTTTACAAAATAAATATCTTTATCTTTAATGAATAATAAATGAATTACTACTGTCTATTAAAATGAAGCGTCATTTAAAATAAAATAATATTTCTACACTACGTCAGATGGGGTCGTGACGGAGAAAAATCTTACAATTTTTCTCGCCTAGCCTAACTTCGTTCCAAAAACTGCGGCCAACGCTCCTGCTAACCCGTGGCATCTATGTCAATTACTCCCATGTCAAACAATCTATAGGGCAGGCCTATTGTTCAGCAGTGGACTTTTGATAGGCTGTTATGAATGATGATTTATATTAATGACACTAGTTTTTAGACAATTTGTACATTTTCGACGCCACGGATATGGATAGGTCAACTTTTTCGTCTTCTCAGCGCCACGACTTAATTACAAGCAAAATATTGTAGGTATCTTTGTTTAGAGTTACAATATTGAAATAATTGATTTCGAATTTATATAATAAGTTAAATAGTTATATTTAGATAATTATAATAAGTTAAAATAAGTTTATCAATCGAAGTTCTTTTATTATTCTGAGATGTTGTCAGGAAGATGTTGCTCCAACCTCCTCTTTCAATTCCCTCTATTGCCTCTTTTACCACAGATTTTAAATCAATAAAAACAAAAAGCTAGGGTAGTAAATAAAAAAATATATTCAAATAAGTTGACAAATTTTCAATATTTACAGATACCAACCATTTTCACAAATATACCAATAAATTAGAGATTAGACAAAAATAACTTAAGAAACTAATTTACGTAGCTGGCATCTCTCTAGCGGCGGTATTATGCTTACTCTTGATGTCACTTTTGACAGATTTAACAGTTAAACGGGTAGTTATTTCACGATAAAGGTTTCGCCTTGATTGTAGTAGTGACGTGTACCGACAGGCGCGTTTGTGTGTGTAACTGCGATTTGTTCGACTCGCGATCGTGACTGAACGCGCGAGGCTTACGCACACTAACACAACGTGTATGTGCACGGCTACCAACGACCAAAGTCAAAACTTCATCGTCAAATAGAATAAAAAGACAAATCCTAAAATAATAACAATATAACAAACAGGTGTTAAGGAATTCAATTACCAGTTATGAACGTACAATCTACATAATATATAATAATATCATGAAATGGAAACTATAGTTAGACCAATAAAGGCTTAAATGTATAGTGAGAATAGCAATATTAGAGGTAAACTGAACCTTATACGTGACACGTAAAGTTGTAAATTGCTTACAAATAGCAAGTACCAACAATCACGAGAATCGTGTTTACCCACGTTATTTGTATAAGAGAGCATAATGTAATGAATATAATATGAACTTTAAGACGGCCATTTTATTTCGTGTTTTGTAATAATTAAGTTGCATAGGCTATTTTTTTTTAAGAATACAGAACAAGTGCACTCTATACAAACGTGCTAAATTTTTATTTTTTATTTTATAGAAAAATCTACGTTTAATTTACAGCAAAACCAAAAGTATAAACAGCAGAGGTTTGGTTGTTGTGCAGCTATCTCTTTCTTACAAATACCACATTGACAATTACTGTCGAAGAGATTTTTTTGCAGGAAAAATACATTTTCAAAAATTATATATTTTTTATATATTACTTATAAATATGTATGATAAATTATGAAAAACATTATTTTCTCTGTACAGTAATCTGTGTGTTTCTATAGCACTTAAGCTTAAAGGCAAAGGGATACATTTTTTTCAGACATTTACTTATACTACTATATAAAATATATCTTTTAACTACTTGTTATTATTTTAGGTTATTTATTTGGAATTTCACAAAGCGAAATCTCAAGAGGATGCAATAAATATACATGTGTTGCCAGTTAAAAAATAATTAAATCACTTTTTATAAGTCAATTGGAATCGTTAACGGTTTATCAAGTGGATATTTACACATTTACAGACATTTCCAGTCTTTGTTGCCACTACAACAGTCAAAAACTACGAGTGTTATAATATCAAAAATTGCATACACATGCTTGTCAAAAATATCTCATCAGTGTGACTACAATAAAAATAACACATATGTACCCGAAGTCAGCAAATGCCAAGAATAAGCGGTCAGATATCCAACAGCACTACACACCCTTAAATACCTAATGTAAAATTATACAACACAGAAATGTCTAGAGATTAAAATTGTGACCTTGTAACAATTATTATTAATTTGTCGCTATTAACAACCATTCATTATTATATTCGGTGCATACTTCTAGAAGAAGATAGCTATAGAAATAAAAAAGAAGGAGATACAGATGGTGCTTAATGTTCAACTTCTAGAAGTATGCTCCGAAATCCTATGCCCAAGAGGAATGCAATGGAAGAAGTATGTGTGTGCAGGCGCAAACACTTAAATGGCTTTTGAGGGTAGACAGAAACTTCAACCTATTAAATTAAAATGACTTTATTATAGATTTAAATTCGGTTTAAAGGAAAGTGTCACGGCACCACGCAAGGAATTGTCCACCGCGTTGCCCCAATAGGTATTGCGAACTTCATATGTTTTCAAAATATTTTCTATTATTGCTTTTAATTCTTTTATGTTTACTTGAGCGCAATAAGCTTTCGACTTTAAAGTTGTGGTAAGTTATAAAAATATCTTAATTTAAGCGTTTCAAAGATTAGTTTTCTAGTTTCTTAGTGCCTTGTGTTAGGTTAGAAATATATTTTATAAGTCAATATATTTTATATATTTACAAAATATATTGATAGAAATATAACTGCGTCATAACTCATAACTATACGAAAATGGCGGATATTTTGCACCTGCGTCTTACACACTTCTTTCTTACACAACCACAACAGAATATGTTTCGGTATAAACTAATAAGACTTGTTCCCCAAGCGAATGTGATTTTCTACTTATATTAATACATTTTACACGAATTCACCGACAGATGGCGCTGTTCAAATACAAGCCTTTATATATTATATATTGTGCATTTTAAAGATATATCATATGAGAAGATTTTTTTTAGTAATGTAAATATTTTTATTAAAAATATGTTATTTATCGTCACATTTGGCGATACTCGAACTGAACAGCGCCATCTAGCTTACGGTGACAACAAAACTTTTGCGTTAATCACAGCGTTTTGCAGAATTTTCTATTAACTTTATTGTGATTCCAAAGTACACAACATTTGAGCTTTGAACAAAGTCACGACAGCAAAGAGCTTTACTGTCTGAAAAACAAGGTTCAAATTGGTTATATCCAAGTCAGAAAGGGGCAACACAAAAGTTTCGCTGTCACTCCTAACCACGGCAGATCTAGTTGAGTGGCGACATGTAGGTAATGTCGTCCCAGGGGTGGCGATATAGGGGCTGCTTCATGCGCTTTTGGTCGAGGTAGTGTCCCACCAGGCCAATGGTGCGTCCCAACACGAATAGCGCGTTGATAGACCCCATCTTGATATAATTGTTGCCCTCCTCCCTGGTGGTAAGAAATTTTGTTAAAGTTAAAGTTACAGCGTATATACGTCCCACAGCTGGACACAGGCCTCCTGTCATTTCAGAGAGGGTTTTTGGGCAAGTGTCCGCCATGCTGCCCCAATGTGCGTTGGCGAACATAGCACTTAAAATTGCAATTAACAATTCCATTGGTGCCGGCGGGGATCGAACCTGGGTTGCTCTACTGTGAAATTTACAGCGAGCGCTTAACTTCAGAGCTACCACGACTCTTTTAAACAATTTTTTTGATTACTATCGATTTTCGGCTTTGTAGTTACAACACCAGTTTTTCTTTACACATTATGTGTGACAAACGAGCATACAGTCCATCTGAAGGTGAGTGGAAGCTGTGGCCTATACGCACCATATTCTCAATTAAGGAATCAAGTGAAATCACTCTTGATGACTAAGATGGAATACACCACCATATAGACACACCAGTATAATGGGTCTAAAGTTACCGTCCTTTACCATATGAAACACAGCAGCAATAAGCTGCTATTTCACGCTGGTATTATGTGAGAGCGTGGTCCTTCCCCGGTCGAAACAACACATCTTTATTATTTATCTTATTTTTTTTTACCGTAACCGTTTTCATCTCTTTATATAAAGAAGTAAAATTCAAAAAATATATAATATTATTTTCTTTTAATATACTACTTTTTTTATTATATTTTTGCATTGTCATCCGAATTTGAGCTGTATTAAGAATTTTAAGTTTCCAGCTCATCAGGAAGTTAGTTTAAAATCAATTACTAAATTCCACCCGGAACGACACATAGATAGACAATCAAGAAAGTGTTACCATCCATACCATCTGGATGATTGGCGGTCCACCACTGTGCGATTTAGAAGAAGTTTTCTCCCTCGCACAACTTCTTTGTGGAATCAATTACCACCAGCGAATTTACCGAACCGATACGACTTAGGAACCTTCAAGAAAAGAGCTTACACCTTTCTAAAAGGCCGGCAACGCATCTGTAATTCCCCTGGTGTTGCGGTTGTTCATGGGCGGCGGTAGTCACTTACCATCAGGTGAGCCGCATGCTCGTTTGCCCCCTATTCTATAAAAAAAAAGAAGTGACTCATTAAAAACGTGATGAAAATAAATAGTTGTCCGTTAGTCTCGCCAAAACTCAAAAACGGCACGATCGATTTGATTAAATCTTTTGTGAGCGTTTGAATGATGGTTTAGGTTCACATTTAGGACCCGGTAGGTGGCGTTGTGTGCGAAGCCGGTGCGGATCACTAGTTTAAAATGAAATAAAACGTATAACACCGATACTGCGGCCCGCAGAGCCGTGGCCAAGTCTTTTTAGACTTTAGACACTGGGCTAGTGAGTAGATCAGAGAATGCCGTTTGTTAATGCACTATAACGTCATCATCGAAATCAGTCCATAAAAGTCCACAGCTAAACTGAAGATTCTCTTGCTGTAGGGAGGGTTTTAGGTATTGCGTAAATAGTTAGGCTTGTCGGGTAGATTATCCCAGCGTTATTGGTTTAGACTAATCCTTTTAGGTAACTTTTGATGGGTCTGTGTGAAGGAGTTATGTTTATTGTGTTGGGCTACTGAGCCGCAAACTACTGCATCCAAAACTTTATACACACTGGTACACAAGGGGGTGCCGTTTGTTCATGCGCTACACCTTAACATCATCATCAATATCAGCCCATGAAAGTCTACAAGTTTTGCCTTAATTATCTCGCTCATAATGGCGGATTATTCAAAAGTTATTAATTTGGAAAAATCTTCGAAATAACGCCTGAAGAGTTCTGTTAATGTGAAACTCAAGCTAATGTATATTAAAAAGTATATAGATGATTTAAAAAGTGTTGACTTCTTAAATTATCTACAATTTACTACGATAGTAGTATAAATAATAACGAGATATTTTATTATTCGCAACTTCCTTGAAAATTACTTTTTATTGAAAGTATCCGTAATCCCGCTCGAAGGACCATATATATCGGATTATTCTTCAAATTGGAATGGAGTAATAAAGTGTATACTGACTGCGTGAAGAGCTGGCAGTGCCGGAACAGGTCTACCATGGCGGCGGCCACGATGCCGTCCACGTTGAGGATGAGGTTCGGCTTCTTGCGCGTGGTGATCGCCTCCACGTCTAGCGCGTAGCGGGTCACGGGCCAGGCGGGCCAGCGCGACGTCACGTACGCCTTCAGTTCCCGGACTCGGGAATCGGGGTTGTTGATGGACTTCACCCTGAAAACAATGATCATCGATTCGATTTTCTCATTCCGAATAATCGAAAACTATTAACTGCGAGGGAGATATTAGAGATTAATATCGTAAAGTGCAGTAGCCATAAATGGATAGATTTAATAGCGATAGCGAATCAATCACCCCATTTCTTCCCATAGGTGTCATAAAAGGCGGGTGTGGTAAGTGCGAGAAAAATTTAATAACTTACGATAGAGGGGAGGGGGGAAGTATAATCGCCTAGTTTACACCAGACGTAGAATATCCAGACTACTGACGGGCATCATGACAAAACTACTTAAGGTTGCAATCGCTTACCGTTACATCCTATTAAAGTCATATGAAGATGAACACGAACATAGAGCCCCCCCCCCCCCCCCCCCCCCCCATAGGAGAAATAATAAAATATTAAGAAGACGCTGCTGCCCATCTGATTTGTTCCCCTGTGTCGCCTCTTACAACACCCACGGGATGATATGGGCTAGTTCTTATACCATAACTACACAGTAAATCAATGCAATCGCATAATCATGATTACAGCTCAACGTAAGTCCACCGCTAAGCACTGGTCTTCCCGAATGGTGCCATTAAACACGGTCGCGTGTCACATGCGTCCATCGACTCGTTGCATTCGGTCCGGGTGTCATGCCACCTAGTTTTCCTGCGATAGGGTACGGTATTAGTTTACGGTTCTTATCAATTTTGTCTTCTCTTTACTAATGACAGTTTTGAAATAATTGTAAGCAGATTTTTCATCCATTAATTAAAACAGCCTATCAAAATGTTAAAGTTGGCTTTCCCCATAGATTACGTCATTATGCCACCAGCATTATTGCCATAGTTGGCAGTCGGGTTGGCAATCACAGTTTTTTTTTTAATTATTTTAAACTATTTAAGCAGATTAATTTATAATAATATATTATGTATAGATTCATAAAATACTCCAAGAAGGAAAAAAGGGCATAAAAAGTGTATTTAAATTGGCTATTAACTATATGCGAGTAGAATTTTTTGCAACAAGGCCCATTGGCACTTCATCTTACCGATGTTGAATTCATTCGTCTTACCTATGACCGATGCCCATAATGAGCTCCCCTTTAGCTCGCTTCTCGTTGACGAAATCCTGCGGATGCTGGCCCTTGTCGTAAGCCTCGCAGAAGTCTGCAGCGGCTCGATCCAGAGCACCACCGAATCTATCGCCCTGTTATAAACAAAAAATTCTATAACATTTTACATTTAATTTGATATTTTTGCCATAGTTGACAATAATATAAATAAAATATAATAATGGAAGTCACCCTTGGGGTAATATTTTCAAAAGAGGGTTTTTACCCGCGCATTTGGTTGGGTGGACTGATTTATTTTCAACGAGCAGACCGTCGAACTGATGATAAATGAAAATTGGGGTTAATAGACACACGTTTATCTTAGATTAAGAATCGAATGAATATGCCTTGATTTCTACGGATTATGATGGAATGCCTCGGAAGGCGAGTACGGACCACGGACGTAATCGTAGAAGATGCAACAAGAAATATTAAGCCGGTAACGGAATGCAGCATTAACTGGCAGAGCTCTTGAAGACAGCCTAGATATATTTACTGTGTAGGCCTCCTTTTTAGGGTTCCGTACCCAAAAGGTAAACAACGGAACCCTATTTTTGACTCGTGGTAGAGCCATGCCGCAGCTATATTAAAAGTATAGTTGTAGCACGAATGTGTCGGCTCGACCGGGAAAGGACATCACATCTAAATACTGCTGTGTTTGGTATGGTGAGTATAGAGAACTGGAGACCCTTTTTACTGGAAAAGAGACATTCTATCTTAGTCCTCACGGGTGACAACGCATCTGCATTTTGAATCGCAAACGAGGATAGATGTGGATGTCTATGTGCCAAAGCAAACACTTACCATCAGGTGGATTGTGTGTTCGTTTGTCACCCTATCCTATAAAAAAAATATTACTAAGCCTTCGCTGTCCGTCCGTCCGCCTGTCCGTCAGCGGGCTGTATCTCATGATTCGTAATAGGTAGACAGTTGACAGGTTTCACAGAACGTGTATTTCTGTTGTCGCTATTAACAACAAATAAATGAAATAAAATGAAAAATTAAAGGGGCTATCTACTAGAAACGTGTTTTACGATGGTACGGAACCCTTCATGCACGAGTCCGACTCGCACTTGGCCAGCTTTTTACTATCTAGATTTTTGTCTGTGTAGTTACCATTTACTTATTTATTTTTATCGCTAAGTGCGTGCACTGCACTGACGCGTTCCGATATTTCTCTATAGACCTAGTACAATTACAGAGTGTGAAGTATTCTATCCAAGTCGTCAAAGGTGACAATGCGTCTGGAGCTCTCTTAGTTTGAAGTTGCTTTAATGTGTTGAAGTGTCCATGGATTGCAGCGGTCCCTCACTATCAGGTAGAACGTAAATATCTTCAAATTTGATGAGATTCAACCAGGACTAATGAAGAAAAAGTTTAACGAAGAGGATTCTATCGCAGATCCTTTTTACTGGAAACGAGGCATTATACCTCAGGGGTGACAGCGCATCTGCATTTTGATTTTTAATTGAGGATAAATGTAGACGTTTATAGGATTCAGCATCTATTCACTATTAGGTGGACTGTGCGCTCGTTCGTTACACCAATTCTATAAAATAATAACATGTGTGCATTTTACACGAGGAAAAAGTAAAATTTTTGGAAAACTAAATTTTAAAAATAGTGAGACAAATGTAATTGTAGGATTTTATTTATCATAATATTTTTACCAAATATAAAAATTGTTTTAGATTTTATTCTACGCACATTGCATATTATTTAGACTCCCAAGTTTTTAATTTTATCATCATAAGTATTTAAATATTTTCTAATCAACAAATTTCTTTCTTAATATTTATTTCTTATATACAGTATTCTATCTCATTTTCTCGCAGGCTAAATTCTATAGATGTATATGTTTGTCTCTTTTTAGAGTCGTGTTTTCGTTCTATCGAGTTTCAAATTTCAAATCTTAACTATTCTAAAGTTTTTACTTAAAAAAAGAGGAGTAGTCGGTGTAGGGGTGTGGGTGTGTGCGTGTGGGTATGTGCGTGTGGGTGTGTGGGGGTGTGGGTGTGTGAGGGTGTGGGTGTGTGGAGGTGTGGGATGCGGCACTCACGATGGTGAGCAGGCCGCTAACCACGGAGGAGATAAGGTCCTTGCCGGGGTGTGTGGGTGTGTGGGTGTGTGGGTGTGTGGGTGTGTGGGTGTGGGTGCGGGTGCGGCACTCACGATGGTGAGCAGGCCGCTGACGACGGAGAAGATGAGGTCCTTGCCGGGGTGTGTGGGTGTGTAGGTGTGTGGGTGTAGGTGCGGCACTCACGATGGTGAGCAGGCCGCTGACGACGGAGGAGATGAGGTCCTTGCTGGGGTGTGTGGGTGTGTGGGTGTGGGTGCGGCACTCACGATGGTGAGCAAGCCGCTAACGACGGAGGAGATGAGGTCCTTGCTGGGGTGTGTGGGTGTGTGGGTGTGGGTGCGGCACTCACGATGGTGAGCAGGCCGCTAACGACGGAGGAGATGAGGTCCTTGCCGGGGTGTGTGGGTGTGGGTACGGCACTCACGATGGTGAGCAGGCCACTAACGACGGAGGAGATGAGGTCCTTACCGGGGTGTGTGGGTGTGTAGGTGTGTGGGTGTAGGTGCGGCACTCACGATGGTTCAAATCTTAACTA